TGTACTGTCTGTATACCAACGATATGCCGCAGCCAAATGCTAGTATGGACGCCAACCCTGACAGGATGACTCTAGCCACTTTCGCCGATGACGTCTGTGTTACTTACAGATCATCCTGCGAATATGAAGCAGCAGACGGCCTACAAGAGTACGCTGACAGGTACGAGCAATGGGCAAGAAGATGGAATATTGGCATAAATGGTCAAAAGTCAGCTAACGTGTGCTTCTCACTAAGGAGGAAAACACCACCTGCTGTTCAACTAGGTGAGGAGATGGTACAGCAGTGTAGTACGGCCAAATATCTTGGCATAACATTAGACCGCCGGCTCACATTTGCTCCCCACATAGCAGCCATCAAAACAAGGGTGAGAGCAGCTGTGACAAAGCACTGGTGGCTCCTAAGAAGCAACAGTAAACTCTCCACCCGAAATAAGCTCACCCTATACAAGCAGGTCATTGCTCCCATCTGGCAATATGGTTGCCAAATCTGGGGGATAGCAAGAGATAGCCAAATCAAAAATATTCAGGTGGCCCAGAACAAAATAGCGAGACTAATTACAGGCTGTGAGTGGTACATTCGAAATAGCGTGCTACATAGGGACCTAAAACTAGTTACGGTACTACAACAAATCAACTTCCACTCCAGTCGGTACAACTCAAGACTGATGAACCACAGGAATCGTCTCGCTAATGATCTCACCATTACTCGACCGAGGCAGAGGATCAAAAGACGTCAACCAAGAGACTTAGTGCTAAGATAACAATAGCTTAATAGCTAAATATTAATTATAAAACAACATGAGAGTATTAGACCAAAATAGAAAAAGCTATATTAAATATTCCCTATAGCCGGAGCGCCAATTGGCAGAAACAATAGAAAATAAGGTAATAAAAGGGTTCATAGCTATCCTGTATATCTTAATAAACTACAATAAAAAAAAAAAAAAAAAAAAAGTAACCCATGTTGGAACTGATGCCCCTTTCCTTATGCCACATTTTCACCTAATACCTCCCTCCTAGATGGCGCCACCAGACCTACGGTGTTCGGCCAACTACAAGCGCTACAGAACAAACGATAGTGTGATCGAGATCGAGGAGTTGGAATCGAGAAAGAAAAACTTATAAAGCTTGTTACAAAACAGCTCTTTTAAACAGCTTTTACCAATCACAGAATTCTTAAAAATATTACAGGCAAATTTTTGATATGAGGGATTCGTTACTCTATGTGTCAATTGAAATCTGTATATGTACGTCTTTCACACCTTTGAAACCAAAAGAAAGCAAAATAAATGAGTGGAATCATTTGAAATAACTTTTAACACAAGTTGAACTTGAATTCGTTACTTGTTCTTCAGCACTTCGAAAACGATTTCGAAAACGATTAAGTTCCGTGCAAATACCCCTAATGCGGTTCAATTCCAGCGAATCAGTGGTTCGCTCGCTTATCGATAGGCAATGTTTTGGTTTTGTTTGCTTGCGGCATAAAAACGTAGTTTTCATGCGGATTTTGCGGCAATTTACAGGCGTTTTTCGTTTGGCAAGTGCTGTTTGTGCTATGAATTAATGTATCAGCTAACTTATTCCGTTGAATCATCGCTTCAAGAAGAGTGTTTCTGTATTTTGAGCTGCAGTCTGCGCACGTGTTGACTAACTTGTTGTTACATTTATAGCGTTGCCTAGATATTCTAGTAAATCGGCGGCCGCAAATCAAAAACTATAAACAATACTCGTGCTTGTCGAAAATGCAAAGCCCCAAACTCCTCAGAAACGCCCAGACCCAGCATGGAGACGCCTCATCCGTGGACGTGGAAAACATATTCCTGCACCGCCACATGCTGTCCACAAATCCGACTTCGGGGGGCAATATCGTTGATCGGGAAGAGTCCCCCGAATGCGTGTGGTTTCCAGATGATGCGGATGGGAATCCAGCTGGAAGCAAGGATCCACCGGTGAGTAGTGATATGATCTATTTGTCACCTTCTAATCCGGTTACTTAAAATGTGTTATATCATCATATCTTGTTTACCAATGCATTACATATGATCTGCATTGTTTACTGAGTATGTATGTCTTGTGTACTTCCACAAAAGAAAAGAACATTTTGAAAAATATATTTGCATTGTATAACTTTGTTGTACTTTTCATTAGGAAATCAAATATCTAACACAAGTGTATATGTACATTTGATACCAAGCTATAAAACACTCGTTTCTACCATACAGCAAGAAAATTCATTTGATATTTGGTCGTTTTCTTTATTTAATACTATCAAATGTATAGAAACTTTTAAGAAAGATAGTCGGTATTTGAGTTCGTTGTCAAAAGATACATAAATATAATATTTTCGATACAATACAACACTACAGCTGGAAAGATTCTTATATACCTCAAACTTTTTCAATAGCATATTGTTATTTTTGCATATTTGTTACTCTACCGCATTTTAAATGTTATTCCTTTGTGACATTACTGCATTGTTTAACCTATTATCAAGAATGTATTTCATTATGCTGGACTTGGTAAAATGCTGTTTTGTTCATGCACTTGAATGCATATTTGTTTACCATGGAGTGTCCCCTCCATTATTAATGCCCCTTTATTTACCCGCTTCACACCGCCAAGTCAGCAAGAAAAGCGCGGTTTGCGACCAGTTCTCGAACTTTGACCGATTCGCAGCTAGTAAAAGGGGATATTTATCTTGGGGGAATCGAATGCCCAAAACAATTTAGTCGGGTCTGCTCGCAAATTGTGTGGATTCGGATTCCTGTCCTCACTTATGCAGTATTATTGGTGCCCGGGGAAATTTCAATGCAGCAGCTCCAATCGCACACTTAAAACTTAATTAAAAAGCTAATCAGGGAGTCGCAAATGCAATTTGCTGGATTAATTTAAACAATTAATTAGGGCTGCATTAAGGCTCAATTGCAATTGTAAAGTGCGCTATATATCAATACTCCATCAGACTAAACTAAGTTGGAAATTAACGTAATAAACTAGAGTCCTGAGTATTAAAGTTGTGTTTCTTATTTTAAGCTCTTTCAAAAAGCTCGTCAAACACGTTTGTTTGTTTTGATTGAAGATGAAATTGGTTGGTCGTATTTATTCTTTAGGACATGTAAAGAATTTTGAGGTTTTTGAAGAAGTTTCAAGCCAATTAATACTAATAAGTAAAGGCAAAGTTTGAAAATCGTTGCGTGACTCCCACATATTCGTGTGCAAAAATGGGTTTATTTCAGGTTTATTCTATTATCTTAAAGTTTCGAAAGTCATAAAATTGGATATAAACATGCGGTGGAGCAAGGAGGAGTACCAGCACCTAGGCACCTGGAGATTTAAGATACTTTTACGAGACTTTGAGTCACAAATGCCCCAATAAACGAGACTGCAGTGCCTGCAGAGTCAACGTTCTGGCCGGCAAAGAAATTTAAAGCCACCCTTAGGCGTCAGTACATTCTTAAAAATGTAGGGCTCTGCTAAGATGTGCAACAAACACCAGATTTTAGACAAAACCCTTAATGGCCCACAAAAACCGTACAACCATGCAAGTTTTGGGCTTTTTGTTTGCTGGTTTTTCCACCTCAACGTACGTGACAGTGGCAAATGGCCTTAAATATTCAGCCAAAGTGTACACTTAAAGCGCAAACCCATTCCTAATTCTCTCTCGCTAATTAAACAATCAATAAACTAAAAACCGGGTGTCTTGGATTATAATGGTGTTTGCATACGCATATATGTATATATTATATGGGGGATGGTTCGAGGATATCGTCGGGGTGTGCTCACGCAAGGAGTTAAGTTATGTGTGGGGACCAACTGGACGGACGGACTCGTTTCACTTACCCACGTATATATTTTAGCGCGGATTTGTCATAATTAGTTCTTTTTGGGGGGCCTCAGCGGGTTTCTAGTGTCCCGCCATCGCGGTGTCTGCCTAACGAGCTACTTTTGTCAAGTTGGTCTGTTGGTCGTGATGTTTCCGCAATTATTAGTGTCAGTGCCTCGTGCTTTCAGGCGGGGCAGGGTGGGTATCCTAAGTGCGGTCCTCATTGTTTCCGCGATGCGCCTTTTGGGCCAGTCGTTTTTATAATTCTTACAATACCATGTAAACACACATTACGGAAACCGCCGCGGATGGCGGCTGGATACTGGATACTGGACTGGTTGCAGGATGAGGAAAATCCCTCTAAGACTCGGTCGGCTGCAGTCCTTGCCATTTTCCATTCCACTGACACTCGCTTGCGCCATCAAACTGAAGAATTAAAAAGGAAGAACGGCTGCTTTTGGGCTTAGTGGCTTTGTGGAGCAGGCACACTTTGCGCAATTAACTAAATTATAAATGTATAGAAAAGTAGTAATTAGGAAAACAAAACATATCAAATGTCTTTGACTCTAGTTGAGCTTTTTGCACGGGAAGAATATTTACATCTATTTTATTTTATATTCGCGCAATCAAACTTACTGTGTACAATTTTTAAAATGATTTTTTTATAATGTATGCAGTATTGAAAAGGAAATTGTATCCGCACTTTTAGTTATGATTTCAACTTAGTTTTAATATAATTGATTTGGGACAACCAAAAACGTCATTTTTGAAGGCTTTAGTACCCTTAGACAAAAAAAAAACAGTGAAATAAAGATAAATATGTAGGTATTGCATACATGTGTAATTCAAGTGTATTCAACAGATATATGTCAATTTCGTAGTTTAGCAAAAACAAAAGAGAATAAAAAATTGTTTAGAGATGAGAATTTAGAATCTCTTGTGAAATCCCTAAAGCGCCAAAGTGCTGCCCCCAGTAAATTGGTCTGGCAACGCTGTAACAAGAAGAAGCGCAGATTTGTTTACAAAAAAGCGGCAAGCGAAATGTAACTTAGTTATAAATTGTTTGTGTTGCAAAGAACACGCCAGCATGATGGTTATTCCTAAAGTTCATGAAGGAGCACAAGGACAAGGACAAGGATTGGAAGTGAATGTGGTCCTGTGGTCCGCCATGTAAGCCGATTGCTAACCAATCCCTATGGTCATTATGCTCACAGGTGTGGACGGATTGGAAATGTGCCATCAAAAGGCAGTTGGCCGATAAGAAGTGGCCCCAGATATATGAGCAATTGAGCCAATCCTCCAGTTGGATAAGTTCCAAGACGATGATCCGGATACCAATGAACTTATGGGGGTTTCCGCCCCAACGTTTGCCATGGTGGAAATGTGGCAGGGAAAAGCCGGCGATCTGTACGAAACGGAAGGACCTATAAGCAGCAAAATGGAGTCACAAAATAACACCAGTTCCACTGGCGAAGCAGAAACTAATTACAGGGCTTATGGAAACTACAAGAAGCAGACCAAAAGGATGAATTCTGGTAGCCTAAACCAGCCACAAAAGAGAAGGAAGATAGAGTCAATCAAAAAATCCAGCAGCAAAGAAAATGCTTTAAAAGCATTTTCTGCAAGTACCAAGAAGCAGTTCCCAACGGGGTTAGCCCCTCTAGTCTTTGAAACCCCTCCTAAAAGTATAAAAACCCTGTCGAAACCGAGTCTGTCAGCTGATACCAGGCTCAGAGTAAGTTCTGCTGGACCAGAAGACAGAGCTTCCCCTAATGAAACTACCAGGACCGTCGCAGAATCAAGTACGTCTATGATAGCTCAGATGTGCCACTTTATGGCAAAATGCTAGGAGGAGCGTAGGCACACAATGCTTCAATCAAGAAATTGTTTGACCACAAAAAGTGGAAATAAATGTTTATATTTTATAGCTTTAGACTTTGCACAACCCTAAAACAACTCAAGCGATATGGAGTAAACTGCCATACAAAACATGTTACCTCCTACCTGTTTTATTAGACTTTTGTCTATGTTTGCTTTCTGGCTAGAACATATTGGCTGGTAGACCAGTAACTAACAGAATTCTGCTGGTTCGAAGCCAATTTTGTAATTTTTGTTTTCCTTTTCATGTGCAACAAGGAAAACTAAACCGTCTGCCTGAAAATTATGCTTAGCCAGCGAAATGAAGGGAAGGAGTTGTTTGCACACAAACACCGGAAACAAGGCTCATATGTGTTAAAAGCTGATAAGCTGATAAGCATATATGATGGCTTGGCCCGTAATGGTTTCGTTTTTTCTGCATCTGGAAGTGGTGTTCCTTAAATCCTAGATTTTTAGAGAATTGCGCCAGATAGAGATAAGTTGAGTTATGGAGTTTACAACTTGAGCCTAGGGACATTTTATAATTTTTTTTGGATTTCTGCAACATCATAGATCAGAAAAATTAAAAAAAAAAAATAGATTTCTAAATTTGAATGCAGGTTTTTAGATAATTGCGCCAGAAACATTTGGTTTTATAATTATAAAAGTTCAGGGTATGTTTGTTAAAAAGTAAATAGAGCAGAATTTAACAACGACATTTATTACATTTATATACTTTTGTTAATCATATATATACACAATGGAGCTGAGAATATTTAATGAATCTTTTACCGCTCGATTTTATTTATCTTACAGATTTCCATGACAGAGGAAAAGTCTGAAACACAATCAAAAGAAATTCTACCAGAAAAGCGAAAAGCTAGCAGCACAGAAGGCGAAGGCCATGTGAAAAAAGTAAAATTAGATGCCAATGGGCTTAAAACCAAGCGTCCGGGATTCAGCGATGAAAGATACGACGAAACATCGTATTACTTTGAAAACGGTATGCCACACGTTTTAAGAAACCACCTTAAAAATGTCAGATGATATGATTATCCAATCTATAGGTCTGCGAAAGGTCTATCCCTATTTTTTCACATTCACCACGTTTGCTAAAGGACGTTGGGTTGACGAGAAAATTCTGGACGTATTTGTTCGTGAATTCCGAGCTGCTCCGCCGGAGGAATATGAGCGCAGCCTGGAAGCTGGAAAATTGACTGTTAATTATGAGAAGGTGCCCAAGGACTACAAAATCAAACATAACGATCTGCTGGCCAATGTGGTTCATAGGTAAGCATCAGTAGGAAACCTCATTTGAATATGCACACATTTGCATTCTAGACACGAAGTCCCTGTTACTTCACAGCCCATCAAGATAGTGTACATGGACAAGGATATTGTGGTTGTGAATAAGCCAGCATCGATACCAGTGGGTATAGTAATTTGAGTGCTAGCGAATATAATAACAATCGTATCTTTTCAGGTACACCCTTGTGGACGATATAGACATAACACGGTGGTTTTCATCCTGGCCAAGGAGCACAATCTGAAGAACCTGCGAACCATCCACAGGTTGGATCGACTCACATCTGGTCTCCTTTTGTTTGGACGGACTGCTGAAAGAGCCCGCGAACTGGAGCTGCAAATCCGAACTAGACAAGTGCAAAAGGAATATGTGTGCCGCGTAGAGGGACGCTTTCCAGAGTAAGTGAAACAATTACTTTTCTTTAAAATTTGTATTCATTTTGCATATCTTTCTCAGTGGCATAGTTGAATGCAATGAGAAAATCGATGTCGTGAGCTACAAGATTGGTGTTTGTAAGGTTTCGCCAAAGGGCAAGGACTGTAAAACCACATTTAAAAGAATTGGCGAGGTGGGCAGTGACAGTATTGTTTTGTGCAAACCACTTACAGGACGAATGCACCAAATTCGAGTGCATTTACAATATTTGGGTGAGTAATAACGAGATGATTCCATGCAATTATAACACTCGTATTCCACAGGCTATCCCATTTCAAATGATCCCTTGTACAACCATGAAGTTTTTGGTCCATTAAAAGGAAGAGGTGGAGATATCGGTGGAATAACCGAGGAACAGTTGATCAGTAACTTAATTAGCATTCATAATGCCGAAAACTGGTTGGGTTTGGAAGGTGATCAAATCGTATCATCGGAAATAAAAGACGGAGCAACCAGTACTTCAGTAGTAGAAAACCCTATCAATGGTGAGACCGCCAAGCCAGTGATTTCGGAAACCCCTGATCCAAGTAATGAAGTAAGTAATTTAAAACATTTGCACAACTCTGGAGAATTCAATGTTTATCCCTACTACACAGACAGCCACCCAAACGTGCTATGAAGAGCCAGACAGGTCCTTTGATCCAAAAAAGACAACTTCGGACCCTCAATGTTCTGAATGCAAGATAAACTACCGAGATCCCGGCACAAAGGACCTCATAATGTACTTGCACGCATGGAAATACAAGGTAAGTTACAAGCTCTGCCTGTTAAAGATTTAAATTCAAATTAAAACTTATTTACAGGGAGTTGGTTGGGAGTATAAAACTGAACTGCCGGACTGGGCTTGTAACTCGAATATTGATTACGATCAATTGTAAATGGAAGAATTCCTTGCAAACATGATGCTTAAGTAAAAAGTTGAATTTTTACATGGTATACAAAAATTGTGTTTCCATCTTATAACTCGGTGTTCTCAATGCTTTTCATGTAGCATTGATTTATTTGCCATATCCTAAATTTTATGTATAAAATGAATGAGGCTTTGCTCTTTTTGCTTTGTTTGCCAGTTGTATCGATTGGACAGCTGCTAAACAATTCAGTTAAAGATATTGATCCCAAAGTACTGAGTCATTTTCTGAAGCAAGGAGATGTTCTCGTCGAGTATTATTTATCGTCGTGCAGTGGGTGTCCTAGGATGCCAACTATCCTGGATGATACTCTGCAAGAACTTCATCTGACTACTCTGCTCGCAATGGTTTCGATTGACTGTAGGAAATATTTTAAACATTGCATAAGAAGACAAATTGACCAATATCCGCAATGGCTTTACATCGAAAAAAGCGGTGGGATAAGAGTTATTAAAAACTCAGAAAGCCTCATTGAATCAATAAGTAAATACAACATATCAAATGATAATTCAGAATACAATAGTTTACCCATGCCAGTTGTAAACGAAAATCTCTGCATACCTGGCCAGGTTCTTAAGCTAAGTTATAGAAACTTTTACTCCGACATTAACAATGGAACCTTCTTCGTTAAATTATATTCACCGAATTGTGTGACATGTATTGTTTTATATGCACTTTGGAAAGAACTTGCTTTAGAATTGGTAAATGAAACCAAAGTTTGCGTTGCGGAATATGACTGTACAAGTGGAATGCAAATTTGTGAGCAGTTGCTTATTACGCGGGTTCCTGCGCTTATTTGGTTTAAAAATGGAAAATATGTGGAAAAGTACAGTGGAAATCAAGACAAAAAGGGTTTTAGAAGTTTCGTTTCCAATATGATCACTCCACAAAAATCCTCTGCTCGTCAAAGTACATTTTCAAATATTTGTATGTTAATGGTGTTACTTAGTTTCACTGAAAATACGATTATATAATTGTATAAAACTTAAAAAAAAAAATGCAAATAAATGTATTTTCAATAAATTAATACTGCGAATTCTAAAAATTTAAAATAATCAGTTGGCGGGAAGGGAATGCCCCTAATTCTGTCGATTAATTGGTTCATATCGATAACCAACGGCTAGGAAACGGTGCCATCTCAAACGGACATCTGGCGCAAATTGAATACAAATCCCGAAATTAAGCAGCGAAATAATGATACACGATTTGTTAATGGCTTGCCGGAGCCACAATCCGGAGAAGCTAGGAATAAGGGCATTCAATGTAAGCAAAACGATCCCAATGAATAATTGGCAAGGCCTAACACGCGAACTTCCTAGGACACCACAGTCATTGACCAGTTCATACATCCTTCCGAGAGGGAGATATTTATGGGCATTTTGAGAATCATTAAAGTTTACCAAGAAGTTGAACAGTTTACCCATTCAATGGGACCGCAGACGAATGCACTTGGCGAGCTTCCAGGTACAAATGGCAACATACATAAGTGTTCAACATTTTAAATAGTTCTACTGCAGATCTTTCGCGTGGTTACTACTTGCTCAATCTGGCCAAGGGCATTGAAGTGGCTCTGGAGGAGTACTACGCGGAGATCACCCGCCTGGAGAAGTATTGTTTTGGAAACAAGCGCACCTCGCTCTCATATGTCCACAGTGCCCTGCAAGCCAAGCTGCCACTGCTGGTGTTTCTGCGGAACGTCATCATGGAGATCCAGGTGCTGCAGTTGCGAGGATGCGTCTTGCTCCACAACCTCCATCAGCAGTCCCTGCACGGCGACATACAGCTGGCAACAGCCTTGAAGAAGCAAGTGATAACCAACACACAAAAAGTATTGTTTCTATAATCGGAATACTATCCATTATGCAGAATTATGAAGCCTGTTAAGAACGCATTTTTCTCGAGCCTGGCTCACTGGCTGTTGTTTGGAGTGATCGACGATGTCCACTCGGAATTCTTCATTAAATTCACCCCAACGGATGCGGTTGATGGTAGCTCATTCAGCAAATCAGCCAGTAACTCCCTAATGGTAGAAACTTTACAAAAGATTATCATGTCCGCATGTTATATAGCTTTTTTATTGCCAGAGCGCAGAGAAAAACCCCGAGGACTACATATGGCAATACGAGGTGAATTTGGCTCAGCTGCCAGGATTTCTGTCCGTCGTTTTAGCCGAAAAAGTTCTGTTTGTGGGACAAACAGTGCTGGTCTTCAAAATGGGGCGCAACGTAAAAGTGAAAAATAAAACGGACCAACTGGCAGTAAAGCTGGCTGAGTTGAATCGTGATGATATCTATCAGCTGTGGAACGGCAGGGAGTCCGAGTTCTTCCAAATGGTCGTTGACCTCAGCAACGATGACACAATTAATGTGTTTCGCGTCGAAAATGTTATTAACGATATCAAGAATTACGTTAGCACCCGCTTGTCGGAGATCGCTGTGAATGAAGTGGATTTGGAGCGGCAAATGGCACTGATAAAGGACTTCTTTTTGCTGGGCAGGGGAGAGTTCTACTTGGAGTTCTGCTCCCAAATGATCGGTACCATGGAAACATATCGCGAAGAGCGTTTTAAAAACGTCACTAGATCATTTGAGGTACTATTTAACCATAATATTCTTTAATGTGTCTTAGATGTACATTTTGACCTTCTACTCAGCTTGCAGCTACTGTCACGGGAATCTCAGATGACTTGGACAAGTTTTCACTGAGCTGCCAAAGAACCACTGGTGAACCAGATGAAAATTCCGACTTTCATTTCCTGCAAGGTCTCAGCCTGAAGTATAAGTACGAGTGGCCATTGAATCTTTTGTTCTCCCCAAAAACAATCGAGCGGTACAACAAAATATTCCGATTCTTACTGATCATTCGAACATTTCAATACGAAATACAAAGGGTCTGGGCCAAGCAGACTTGGAAGGCAAAGAAAGTGGGTGTGCCTTTGAATAATAAAATCATAAGTCTCCGCAACTACCTTATGTTCTTCCTGAACAACATGCAGTACTACATTCAAGTAGATGTGCTTGAAAGTGAGTTTTGTACGGAATACCGAATGGCTCAAAAATAACTCGCATTTTGTTACAGGTCAATTTGGAATTTTGTTGAATGTGATCAAGAGGAAGACTGATTTCGAAGAAATACAAAGGGCTCACAGCATATTTCTGGCAAATGTTCTTTCCCATTGCTTTCTGATTACCGAATCAGAGGCCCAAATGAACGTCACCGGATGCCAAAACCAAAATCCCATTTATGGAACCCTTCTTAAACTCTTTAGCATATGTGAGAGTTTTGCGCGCATGACCCAATCGAAAGATCCGCCTGATGACTTAGTGGCTGAAGTCGACCAACTTAATGAAAGGTATGTGTTTAAATATTTGTTAACCGAGTGATAAATGAAGTCAATCGTTATTTACTTTATCAATTATTGTGGGTAATAGTAACAAAACTTTGTTTTTTATAGTTTTGGTGTTCAAATTGCGAGCCTTATCCAACTACTAGTCGATGTAAAATCAGCATCTTGCTTGGGTCCGCTTTCTCAGCTGCTTTTGCGACTGGATTTCAATCATTGGTTCAGTGCCAGTCACAACACGTCCGAATGAATAACATTTTTTGCCTAAAGTTGTAGCCGCTTGATGTCTTCTATACGAAAGTCGTTTCTGCAAATCAATTAATTACGATGAATAAAACTGAAGAAAGTGGTTTATTTTAATTAGTGCTCACTCTTACCTTAACGTTAAAAATGTGCGAACTTCGTTAGGTGTTAGATGCCAAGATGACATCTCCTTATTGTTCTCGGGATTCCAATACTCTGTAAGCTCCGAAATCTTGTCCAAATTGAGAAGGGTAGCAATTTGGGAAATACGTGTCATCTTATCTCTAACCGACCAAGATGTGGCTCCTGTCAGGTAACTGCCCAAGGCACGAACTTCCTGATCAAGCACCAGACCGCCGAGCTTTTAAATAGATTATGTTGGGATAAACTCTGCAAGGTCAAATTTGCCTGCTTAGATACATACTCTGTTAAAGCTGATTTTTTTAATAGCCCGTTCCAGTTGAATAGTCACTTCGGTCGCCAAAATGCTAACGAGGGCATCATAGTTCCGCGGACTCAATGAGTTCTTAAAAGAGTTGAGGAGTCCATCCAATTGCACTATGAAAAACTGGACGAACGTCTCGCCCGCTTCGTAAGCAGCAAGTTCCTCCTATAAAAACCGATTGCATTGCGATCTCATACAGATACTTCAGTCCAAGTTCTTACCTCATTCAAATTGTGACTGTAGTTCAAGAACTGATTTATCCATGGATTGAGGCGTGGCTTTATAACACTGGAGCGCAGCTGCTGCATTCCAAAATCAACAGTGGCTTTCAACGCATCCCGCACAGCTTTAAGTTCCGTGAGGCAGCTGTCCAGCAATTGACGCTCCACCGGCGTCGTTTGTGGAAATGTGCCAGCAATTTCCTGTTCCATCGTCTGACACAGTGTCTCAATATACTCCGTCGATATGTCGGCATTGTTCAGCTGCACCAGGAAGTTGGCTCGACCACGATCGGCATCGCTGGAATGTAGTTTGCCCTGCTGCAGCGTCGTTTGGATAGCATTATAAGCCTGAGCCAAGTCGATGTAACCAGATGGGTAGCCGTTCTTCAAGGGCGCCTTAAGTGCGCTCACAAAATCGCCATCCAGGCAGGCAGCCACATTGTTGATCACAGCACAGGTTCCATTTATCGACTGGGTTGTCAAGGCCCTTCGAATAGATTTGCGAAGAATGAAGAATACATCGTCCACCATGGATGAACACTGCTGCCCAGACTCGTAAGTGTCCAAGCCGATGGCCTTAAGAACGCTTTCCTCCATGAAATATCTAGAAGTATGTACAATTACAACCATTTAATCAGTTTAAAATACTTTTCGAAACCTACCTTTCCAGGAGCAAATAGGTACTCAGAATCTCTTGCATTTGGCGGCGCAGATCGGAGTTCTTCATGATCTTCTCATAGCGTTCCATTATATCCAACTGCTCTTTTTCCGGCACGCACGTCTCCACATGCACCTGCAATACTTATAGTTATCTAACCATTTCATACGAGATTTTTCGCCTTGCCTGTAAGCGTCTTCGCATAAATCGGAAGTACAACTCGACCCTGGCGTGCATGACGGTTATTTCGGCTATAATGGCATCGATTTCCTTGGGGTTTAGCTTGTCCACCGAGCCGCCAGATGGTTTCCTATAATGACCCAGTGCCTGGATACTGTTGCTCCCGAGATTTCCGCCACCGGCCGACCGCTGAGTGGATTCATTTACTTGCTTGCTGCGGTACTGAATCTGCCGGTTCTTGTTGAACTCCATAAGAAGATTCTTTACCTCCGTATCGCATTCGTGCTGCAGAATGGCCACCATGTCAATCAACGACGATGAACTGCAGGAGAGTCACATATTTTAAAAGATTCTGTCTTGACATAACTAAGCTACCTACGCTTGTCCGTAGAACGCTTCGATTATCGGCTGATTGACTTCCACCACCCTTGCGAAGTTTTCCAGAATAGCAGTCAGTCGATCTGCGTAAGCCAGTTGCAGGCGGGATTCCGCCTTGGCTATGTCCTGGGCGTTCCTAAGTTCCTTTTGAGCCTTGTTCGCAAGCTTCTGGCAAATGTAGAGCGAGAACTTTTCGATCCCGGTGCAATGGCAACCTACTAGAGGAAAGATTTTGAAAAATCTTTCCACAGAGGCCAAGTCATCGGCTTTGACCGCCTCATCGAAGCGCTTGGCAATCAGGACACGGGTCTTCTCGGTGGCATCCTCCAGCGTCTTCACCGCATCGCTAACCGACGTTATGGAGCCCTGGACGTCGTCGGCGGTACGCCGCAGCAGTTGCTGATCCATCGCCAGGAAGCGGGCGATGTGGGTGGCGCTCTTCTCATAGTCCTCCTCGCCGATGGCCTTCACCACGCCCTGGCTGCACAGGTGCAGGTCGATCAGATCGTGCACCCGCTGCTGGCACTCGGAGGCTCGGCACCTGGCCAAATCCAGGCGGCGCACCTTGGCGCTCACCGATTCGGCCAACTGGGCTGTGTTTACAATCTGGTCGTTCAGCTTGTTGGAATCGCTGTCCACCGTGTGCAGCAGGCTGAGGGATCTCCCAATGCCACTCATTCTGGCCTCAATCTGGCATTGCTTGGCCAGCAGTGACTCCAGTCTCTCGTTAACTTTTGCCTAAAACGGTGGAAACACATGACACTCAACCGGAGTTTTATTGACTTGGCACTTCACCTCTTCGTCGGCAATCCGCTGCAGGGTCTCGTCCACCTCCTCATTTGTGCCGATGTCTAGAGCACCCAGCTGTTCAAGAACACTCATCCTGCTACCGTCGGTCCGGATCTCCTATATTATTTATCTTATTTTCCAATTGGATAAATGATCTGATACGTGGAATGAAAAATTTGTTTTGCTTTGAAATAGCGATGGCAGATTGCCGTTCTGGGATAGATGTATCGGAATGTGGATGTATCGATAGCTCAAAATGCTGGGAACACTACTTAAATTATGATTTATTAAAAATAAATGATTTCAACAAGATACGTCCTTGAATCGAGCTTAAAAAAGTATAACTATTTATTCTTAATTAATATACAACCTTTCAAAAGCGGCAAGCTAAAAACTAAAAGCTGCAGTTAGACTTACTTTACAGAAAATACGGGCACCCTCGTTTCCTGAACAGCTGATTCAGAATTCAAAGCCCAACAAAAGTATTGATTTGCAATTAAAGTAGAATTAGTCTTAGCGTAGCATTTCGATAGATAAGCGTAGGCCAGTCATGGATTTCACGGGCTTTGAAGTGCGCAAGGCAAGCTGATCACCCCGTGCATCTCGAGTGAAGTCCTCCTTATCCTTGCTTATCCTTTCCAGTGCCCACCGACCGTCATGTACATTCCTAACTTCATCACTTCGGAGGAGGAACAGCGCATCCTGAGCCACATCGAGCGGACTCCAAAGCCTCGATGGACGCAGCTGCTGAACCGCCGGCTGGTGAACTACGGCGGTGTGCCGCATCCCAACGGAATGATTGCCGAGGAGATTCCCGAGTGGCTGCAGATCTATGTGGACAAGGTGAACAATCTGGGGGTGTTCGAGTCGCAGAACGCCAATCATGTGTTGGTCAACGAGTATCTTCCGGGTCAGGGAATTCTGCCGCACACAGATGGACCACTATTCCACCCCATCATATCCACCATTTCGACGGGTGCTCACACCGTGCTGGAGTTCGCCAAGCGTGAGGACACCGCGGCGGAAGCAGAAGCTGGTGCGGATCAGCCTTCTGAGATGCCGCGTGAAGTGCGTTTCAAGCTGCTCCTGGAACCGCGCAGTCTGCTCATCCTTAAGGACACGCTGTACAGCGACTATCTGCACGCCATCTCCGAGACCAGCGAGGATGTGCTCTGCGACCGCATCTGCAACTATGATCTGTGCGAGAACACCTACAAGATCGGTGATCACCTAGTTCGCCGATCCCCGCGCATCTCCCTCACCATCCGTAACGTGCCCAAGACCAGCAAGATGAAGCTCAAGTTCTGCTAGGTTCATTCCGCCATTAGATGTTGTTTGGCATTAGAGATTACAGATTACACAGATGTTGACTAGCCGCACGTTAAACGAACCCACTGAAGAGATCCTTGGGATCCAAGAACTATGATAATCTGCAACCTGAATCTTCCGCTAGATGTTTAAGCACTCCGCACTAGCAGCACACTTGTTCGCAAGCAAATCCATGTTGGCCCACACAAAAGTGCTTTATTTATACCGCTAGCATTGTGTACATATATAAAAATGTTTGTATTACGTATTACGGAGCAATAAGTTGGCCTGATCGGCGGACAGGCTCGAGCTGTATCCTCAGATTCCACCTGTGCGCCGGCGGCCTTTAGATTTAGTTGTGCGAGCATTTGATGGAGGCTATCCATGGCCTAGTTTTGTGAAATGTGTGGTTAACTTTGTATATGGGTATGCGCACGAACTGATTTTGGTTATGATTGGCCTAAAACTGTGCAGATTATACAGAATTTATGCAAGATCTTTATGATTAAAAATGTTCCTTACGTTAACTTCTAAGCAAATCAATTGCAACCAAAGCAAATCATAATGATGATCAGTTGACGAGTACCCATTATATGTATGTTGAATGGAGCAGACAGCACACTGGATACCATATTCGTGTGCTCCATGCTCCGGCCTCCCGTGTCCAAGTGTATTTTTGTAACCGTTTTTTCCACCGCGCACCGCAAGAAAGAGCGAAGAGTTGCCAATAAACGTTTTTGTCCACCCACTCATCCATTAAACCCTTTAATCCACTAGGCTTCCGCATCCTGCCACTCCAGCCGGAACTCGCGCTCAAAGACCAGGCGATCGTACAGCCGCACCTCGCTGATCCTCGCTGAGATGTCCAGCCGCAGTTCGCTGACTGCCAGGTGGAAGTTCTGACGCACCGTTCGCTGCTTGTCCGGTGTCAATTGATTGAGCGGTTTCCGGAAGATGCTGATGATGCGCTGCAGATGGTACTCCACGCTGGCACAGCGACCGATGCAAACCCACAGGTTCTCCGGATCGTGGATGTTGCCCGGGAAGCGGGTGCGCTGATCGAAGGGCGCCTTGCCGGACAGCAGAGCTCTCACCTCGGCCACGATCTCCTGGTGCGTCCTCAGATCGCGTGTGCTGAGGGTGGTGAACTCATACTTGTCGCAGAAGTACATGAGCTCGGAGATGGCCACCCACGACTGGGAGCAGAGTGTGGCATGGTGATTCGACCAGTTGGTGTAGCCAGCTGGACTGGCGGACTTGGTGGCTACGGCAGCGGTTGACGAGGAACTTGCATTGGGAGTCGGAGAAGTGCTCGGTGGGCTGCCTGTCTTGGTCTTGGGCGTATCCGAACCATTTATGATGGACCTTCGCTCTGTGCGCTGCAGCTGCTCCATTTCCCGCTCGTGTTCCTTGGCCCTCAAATAGGCCTCCTTCTTCTGCTGCAGCTCCTGCAGCTTGGTCATCTTTGGTGGCGACAGGGACTTTGTGAAGATCGAGGGCGCTGGCGGCGGAGGAGCAGCCGGCTCGCCGTCTGTGTGAGCGATTGGGGAGCCGTTTGTGTCCAGCGATGCACTGCGTCCGTACTTGGCCCTGTAGCGCTCCAGCGTGTCCAGCGAGAAGCTGAGCTCCTTCTTGATGGCCTTCTGCATGGTTCTGGTTTTCTGGCTTTATGTAATCACCTTGGGTGCTTCGATGCTCCGAATTGCACGCGTTCCCTTCGAGAATTTACAGGCGAATGCGAGCGCACATTCCGCATAAAGAGAGGCCGATCTCTTTATTTTTATCTTTTATCAATCGGCGGCGAGCCATGTGCACTTTATTTCGGTCTCTGCCAATACATTTTGATCGCATTCGCATACGAATGCGTGCGGATACGTTTGGATTTGAAGCACCATTTGAAAAAGATTCACAGATGCAGATACTTGCAGATGCTGAAATGCCGAACGCACAATTTGGGAAACTCATGACGAAATGACCGAAATTTTGGATGGGTTCAATTCAGATCAAGGTTGGGATATGGAACTTAAGTAGGATTGCAATCCTTTACATTCCTTTTATGCCAATTTCTATATTGAATGCGCAATAAGCACCTTTCAAGTACAAAGTTTACAGCTTTTATTTCGTATATTATTCAAATAATATTATTTCCAAATGGCACACATATGTTTGTGATTTCTCGCTTTAAGTACAAACATGTTACTGATCGTTTCAAATTGTGTTGTGTGTGCTGTGAATCATATTTGAAGAAATGCACAAAGTACATTTAATACTTTTCGTTATCTTGTCGGCCAGCTCAACCGGCGGAGGAGGTCCTCTCACATGGATGTTAAATAAATATCGCCTTAACGCATACGTAATAGAAAAATGTACAAAATTACAATCGTGTTGTCGATCAAATACACAAAACAGATAAACAGATAGGACTAACTAGAGGACGTTTTAAAAACTACAAAGCGGGTGTTTGGCGGAAGGCACGGTATACACAGAGTCGTCTTGTCCTTGGTGGGACAAATGGGTCACAAGTAGAAAAGAGGGCTGACGAGCCCGTTCTTAAAACTAGGTTCCATAATTTACAGTACAGATGGGTGGAGTTGAATCCGCCTAAACGCAATACGCCGCCGGCACCTCGAAGATAATGTTGCCCTCTTTATTGTGGAAGTTGGGCACCTCCACATTGGACGCCGCCTCCACGATAATGGTGCGAGGCTTGCCTTCCAGGCGGCAGACAATATTGGTGCTCACGTTCACACGCAATTCGGTTCCGGTGAGGCTGGAACAGAACTGATATTAATATCTGCAGTGCTGACAAAATGGGGTTCCACTTACTCATGGTATTTCTTGCACACGATGCCCACCAGCTCGCCAATGCGGTCTTCCTTGAGGGGAGTGTGCTCGCCCTGCAGGGAAAACACCAAGTCCTTGTTTTGCGGCGAGTGGAAGACGATCAGTTGATCACGACCGGGTGAGACGCTGATGGACGTCAACTGTAAGCGATGTCAAGATAAAGAATTAATGTTACATTTAGAATTGTATTAATGAAAACGAGTAATACTCACCTCCCTAATCTTAATGTTGCGACTCATGTCCTTAAATTTCTTTTTGATGCCTTCCAGTTTGTAGATGGTCGAGTCGGAAACGATGAAGGCGCGATCAGACTGCTTGTTGTGATGGTTGAACTTCTTGGCGAAAGAGGAGAAGAGCACCTGTTGGAAGGGCTCCCCGTTGGCGTGTTTGTTTCTTATGTTCTTTACGATCGCATTGTAGGCATCATATCCGCTGTTGTCCTGCGAGTTGGCCAGGTAATCGCCCACCCAGCGGCGCGTTTGACCCCAATATGGTCGTCTTCCGGCCAGCGCAGTGGCGGCGATAATCTGCAGACGCAACTGCGGCCACTCACTGCGAGGATATTTGTGCAGGATCATGTAGGCTCGCCAGAAATTGAAAATGCGGTGCAGTTCAACCTCCGCCTTGCGTGCGGCGAGCGGCGGCTGTGGCCACTGGATGCTCTTGCCGTAGTCGCGCATCTGCTTGGCATTCCGGAAGCGGTTGGCCAGCTCCTGGACGTAGCTGCGCCGCTTGTAGGCCTTATAGGCGCGCATAATCGTAATGGCCGCCTTCATCTTCTTGAAGTTTCTCCTCACAATCCATCCACGCACTCGCTTCTGGAGCAGCGTCACAATGTGTGGGATCATCTCGTTCCTCTGCTGCTCCAGGGCAAACAGGGTCTGTGGCGAGCGTATAAATATCTTTGTGTGGCCGTACTTCACGTCCTGGGCGAACTTTTTCTCCTCGATCAGCACACGGACACCATCGCGATCGCTTCCGGCGCGGAAATTGGGCCAAGTGTACTGCGAGATCATCTTGTAGCGCAGCAGGAACTTATCATAGCGCTGGCGATGCACGAAACCGGCTCTACGGACGCGTAAGTTCTCCAGTA